CGTTGGATTTAGACTGACTGTCGCTCTTTTTCTAATACGGAAGAAAAGTTCGGTGTGGGTGTGCCCCTGTGCCTAAAGAACGCGGGTTGGTTGTTCCCACTTTCGTTAGGAAAAGTGAGGGTAACGAACCGCGATGGCGATTGGTCATGACCTGCACTACTGCTCGAAGGGATGAGTAGGAAGTCTCCTACCATCGTGGTGGATAGATAACCGTGTTCGTGAGGAAAACCTAGCTTGTTTTATTAGAGGGCTATTCGGTTTTTCCTAATGGGCGCATACCCGCTTTCTCCGTGTTTTAAGTGCGCCTAGTAAACCCAAGGACCTCTCTAAAAACCGACTGTGTTTCGAGAATATTTTTAAGCTTTAGAAATTCTTCAAGACAAACGGATTGAAGACACATGGCGAAACAATACAGGGAAGTGAAAGTTATGGTGGGTCCTTAGGTTTATTGAGGGTCGAAATGACGTTACGCAGGCCGGTTGTTGTCCGGTCGCGCGGGCTGGCATGCAGATGATTTAGGCGGCGTAACATCCTCCCCCCGTGCAGAGGGCACCGATCAAATTCTGGCTGTGGAGTCAGGTGCGTCGTTGGTACCTCCTTCGCTTCGTGTGGACGTTCGGCCTCGTCTGGATCTGAGTGAATGGGTAAGGGGACCAGTCTTTTGACACCGCGGTCCAGGATGCTTGTTGCCGTCTGCACGGTAGCGGTCCGGATGACTCCATCGCCTCCTGGATGGACCTTGATTACGCGGCCCAAAGGCCATTGCATAGAGGGCATGTTATCCTCCCTGAGGATTGCTACGGTGCCTTCACGAATGTTGTATTTGCCCTTGTCCCATTTGTTGCGGCGGGTTAGTTCATTTAGGTACTCACGATACCATCTGCTCCAGAAGTGCCGCTTAATCTGGTGAATGCGCTGCCAACTGGGTAGCCGGCCTGATGGAACTGTCCTGAAATCACGCTCCCGTAAACTGGTTAGTGCGTCACCGATTAGAGAATGACCGGGAGTGAGTACAGGAGGATCTTTAGGATCGGATGAGATGAGAGTCAGTGGGTGTGAATTGAGAATGGCCTCAATTTCGATCACAAGGGTGTTGAGGTGCTCGAAGGTCAGGAGCTCCGTGCCGACAACGCGGGTGAGATGGCGTTTGAACGCTTTAACCGCGGCTTCCCATAAGCCGCCAAAATGTGGTGAGTTCGGAGGATTGAAACGCCATTGTATTTGTCGGTCGACGAGAAAATTCCGTACCCTATCCTGGTGGTCGTCGGACTGCAATAGGGTCCGGAGTTCTTGCAGCTCCCGGTTAGCCGCGACGAAATTGGTGCCGTTATCGGTGAGGATCGTTGTGCAGTATCCTCGCCGCGAGATGAATCGGCGTAACGCGGCCAAGAACGCGTCGGTGGTTAGGTCGCTGACTAACTCTATGTGGACCGCGATTCCGACATTCGTGAACGGCCGCGATTCGGTAATACGCGCCTTTGGCAAATCACCCATCAAGTATTCCACTGGTGGAGGTTTGGCTCTGCAGCAGCGGACGCACCTTCTGAGAGTGCGCCATACTTGGCTACGGCGGTCGATCGGCCAATAGCGCAGTCTCACCGCATATAGTGTAGCTTGTGTCCCTGTGTGATGATTGTTCCGGTGCTCTTGCTCTATAATTAGCTCTGTCATCGGGGATTTCGGCAGGATGATCGGGTGTTTTTGGTTGAAGGGTATAGCGGAGTTGCTTAGTCTTCCTCCTGCCCGGAGTATCCCATCTTCGTCGAGGAAGGGGTTTAATGGCTAAAGGTTCCCCCCAACGTCCTCGCTTCGATTTTTCTGAAGGGTCCGAATTTCAGGCGCGAAATGACTGGATTGTATTATTTTTATTAGTCTGTTGTGCGCTGCAGTTAGTTTGTCTGTGGTGAGATGGGCAGATCGGTGTTGCCTATGTCTCCATCGAGGACACCAGGCGACGATTCTTATTAGTCTTGGCCAAGACGAGTAACGATGGAGGAGTGTGTTGTTGTTAATATTCGTTTTCAGACAGATCGTCTTTCTTTGCTCCAGGAGGTCGACTACCGGTGTCGGGCTCCAGACCGGCCAATAGTTTTCGCTTTGCAGGAGCCACCTTGGCCCGTTTTTCCAAATGGACGGACATAGGAATTCCTTGGGCGTCTGGCCTCGGGAGATGAGATCCGCTGGATTATCGTCGGTAGGCACATGATGCCAGTCGGAGATATTGGTCTTGGTCTGTATCCCGGCGACTCGATTCGCCACAAATGTTTTCAAGGTGTGCGGCGAAGAGCTTCAAGGTGTGCGGCGAAGACCTGATCCAATGGAGCACGATGGTGGAGTCAGTCCAGTATGCGATCCGCGATATCTTAGTCGTCAGGGCCTGTCGTATTGTCGAAATCAAGGACGTCAAAATAAGTGCCCCGCTTAATTCGAGACGTGGTATGGAGAACGATTTGAGCGGTGCTACCTTCGATCGCGCCGTGAAGAGTCGAGTCCAAATATTGTTCTTTTGGTTCGTAGTCCGCACGTAGACGCACACCCCATATGCCCTTTCGCTGGCGTCACAGAATCCGTGTAACTCAATTTTCGTTGCGGATTCTATGATGGTCTTCCGAGGGAACGAACCTTACCGCATTTAACAACGGCAATTGTGTGTGTTATTTGATCCATTCTGTGTGTACGTCTGTCGGAAGGGATTCCTCCCAATCTACCTTCAATGTCCAGACTTGTTGCAAAATCATTTTTGCTCGGACGATTACCGGCGCGAGCAATCCTAGTGGATCATAGATTTGTGCGATGACTGAACCGATTGATCGCTTTGTGACTCGGGTACTGATTGATCGCTTTGTGACTCGGGAAGTGTCACTGATCGTCTTGACCGAATATAGAATGGAATCGTCGGCTGAATCCCAAAAGACGCCGAGTGTTTTTAACGTGGATGACTCACCGAGATGAAGTTTCTGGTTGGTGTCTTCCTCAGGTAGCCCTCGTAGCAGATCCCGATCGTTTGATGCCCATTTGCGGATATTTAGACCGGCTAGCTTGAGTAATTTCGTGAGATCATTCCTGACTGATAAGGCTTCGTCCTTCGTATCGGCTCCGATCAACGCATCGTCGACATAGAAGTCTCGCCGTGGAAATCGAGGTCCCTCATAAGATCTGCGCTGCTATCGGAAATCGAGGTCCCTCGTCTTCTGCCAATTGTTTGAAACATCGGATGGCCAGATACGGGGCTGCGGATAGACCGAACGTTACGGTGTTGAGTCGATAAGTTACGATCTCTCCGTTGTCGGCACGCCACAGAATCTTTTGATAAGGACGATCTTCTGGACGTATGATGAATTGATAGTACATTTTCTTGATGTCGCCGGTAAGGATATATTGAAATGATCTCAATGGGATGTTTCTCAAGTCTTCTTGTAATCTCGGACCGGTGTGAAGGGCGTCGTTTAGAGAAACTCCCGTGGTACTTGATGCTGAGCCGTCGAACACAACCCGGAGCTTGGTGATGTCGCTCGACTCCTTGATCATGCCGTGATGTGGTAAATAATATCCGTGGTCGGTGGCGTGATCCGTGTTGATCTTCGTCATGTGACCCAAGTCTAAATATTCTTGGATCACAGCACTATACGCGGTTTCATATTGTTTATCGCGTTGGAATCGACGATGAACAGAGGCGAGCCCGCTTATTGTAG